TATAGAGCCCAACAAACACACAAAAAGAAATTTTCAAAAATACAAAATTTTGTAGCATCAAACTCTTAGATAAATAAATATTGTTATAAGATCAAATCGAGAATATCTAGTAGTATCATCACAAAACAATATTATATTTTGAAAATATATAAATTATTATACAGTTTTATTTTAATAAATATTATATTCAAAAAATGTAGTTTTCAAAAATTTGAAACAAATGATGGATGCTACGAAATTAAAAAATATTTTTGTTAAAAAGCTTAATATAAAAAGAATCAAACCAACTGAAGTCGAACTATTCAGTCCAAACCAAAGTATATACACAAACCATAATAGTTGAGTTGATTTCCAAACGAACTGATTTAATTAACTAATTATATACTATAGATCTGTTTTCTAAAATTAGATTCACTAGTCACATTTGATTATTTATTTTCATTCTTATTTTGTCAAATATAATTAGTAAAGTTAATTCTTCCTAATAAAGTTTTGAATGTTTAACCTAAATCACAAACATAGCAAACCCTTCTTCTTCTCTTTGCCTCCACTTCTTTTTTCACTCAAATTTCTTAAACTTTTTTTATAAGCCGTTATCAAAGTTGAATTTCCATTGCGATTGATAAAATTTAACAGTATAATATTTATTACTTAACTAGGCATTTGCACTTTTCATGTACTGATGTAGATTCATATGAAAAAGCTTTATCAAGAACATTGGGTTTTAAAATGGAAAGTGACAAAAAGAACAGAGACATCAATTTAACTCTAAGTTTGCCTATAGAGAAACACACATATCGACATGGTTATTTTGTCAATCGAAACGTAGTTTATTTCTTATGTGGTACCAAGACCAAAAAGACCAATGAGAACTACTTTCTGGTAAAGCCTATTGATCTGTGTATGTGTCTTTCGCTTGAGTCAACTTAGATCCATTGTTGATGTAGATTGACGTTTTTCTTTGTGTCAATGTGTAATATACCAACATTAATCGCACAAGTTCCTCCCCGGAAATGGACGGTGTGACCATCAACAAGGAGAAGAGAAGAAATAAGATGATGCGAGACAAGAGCCACACCTCTCGCAAGCATCACCGCAAGACACACAAGCATGATTAAATATGTTGTTTTATGCTGGCTTTTAAGTTGCTTGAGAATTAAATATGTTGTTTTATGCTGGCTTTTAAGTTGTTTTTGGATCTTTGAGAGTATAAAATGAACCGAGTATCTTTACATATCTATCACAAACTTTATCTGTGTTAATCCAAATTCGAAATAGTTTGATTGTGATTGTGGAGTTGATATACAAATGTACTATAAGAAATCGGCTCAGCTCGAAAATGACAGGCATTGAAATGTCTAGTATTGCCAAGTTATTAGGGTTTCTCTCAAGGATACTATCTTTTCTTTTCTTTTGCTTCTCATGTTGCCCTTGAATGTACACTTCAGTCTCATCCAAACATGGTATACTTGCAATTTCTAAACATATTCAATCCACTCTATTGGCATGTTGTCTCTAGATTCTCATTTGTTTGTGATTATTTCAGGTGATACTGGGTGAGGAGCTTACGACTTCCAAGCTCACAATTTTTGATGATTCTGCAGCTACTTCTCCATCCAGAGTCTGATGATTCTGCTAAGCTATCCCAGGTAAGAAGAATACAAATATTGGACCTTCTGTGACTTAAAATAAACAGAATTACAATACTAATTTGATTTCTTCTCCAGATTGAGACGAAGAAACTTCTAGCTTATCTCGTGGAGACTAAAATGAACAAGCGTTTGGTAAGCTGCATGTTTTTTCACTGATCACAATCCAAACCACCAATAATTTTTCATAACCTTGCATGTACACTCTAGTAAGCT